CCCCATCTGTGTTGCATTCTATCTCACTGCATCCTATCCCTTCCCTGACGTATAAAGCCACGCCCCCACCCCTCTTTCCCTTCCTGTCCTTTCTAAAAAGGTGATACCCTTCTATGTTCACATTCCAGACTTGCCTTTCATCCCACCAAGTTTCTGTGATTCCCACCAGATCATACCCTCCTATCCTTTCTGAACATTTCTTATCATGGATATCCACCAAATTGGGAGGGATCCACCATGGTGGTGCCATTATATGGGCACCACTAAGGATACAGTCCTTGGTTGATTGGAGAATGCTAGGACAGACAGCCTTTTTAATGTCTAGATTGTGCCCTCAATTGAACTCTTCTCAGAAAAAGATAATGTACCAAAACATTTTTCTTTACTGTCCCTTTCAACATGCAGGTTCTGTACTACTGAAATAAAGGACATAAGCAGCTTTTGATAAAATATTTTATTAATAATAATAATAATAATGATACAAAAATACCAACTTTAATGGGTAGTGATGATGCCTTTACTTACAGAATTATTGTAAAAGTGTTAAAAGTTTTCCAAGAGATTGCATCACCAGGCAGCATCTACAGGAAAGAGGAGGAGGAGGAGGAAGAGGAAGAGGCCAAGCTGTGTTCCATTTACAGCACTGTAAACATAGACTGACACTGTCAATAATGAGTTTAGAGAAATGACATGGTTTCGTTCACCAGCAGATGAACACTCATCTGTCAATAATACTCCAGTAAACATGGAAAAGGAAGGACATGCTAATATTTCAGAATAATTGTGTGTCAAACAATCTTGCCAGCAATTTTCTAGTGATTTCCCAGAGATTAGCTAACTCATAGTCATTTTTTAAAAGAAAAAAAATATAGTCCTGTTAAATCTTTTCTTTACTACCAAGGCATCCCCTGAAGCAGGATACATGGTCAAAAAAAAATGCTCAGTAAAGCCCCTCACCTTAAACAATTTATCTCCAGTATAGTTCCATCCAAATTCTACAAAGAGAGATTTTTTTAACCTTGAACAAACAACTCTGAGTTATTGAATGCTTGTGTTATTTTTAACCTTGAACGAAAATGGCTGTGCTGTCAAAACAAAAATAGACACGTGTAAGAAGAGAAAACGCACAACTGGAGCTTGCGTTATAGTTTTCCACACAAAGACCAATGAGGCAAGGTGAGAGTTCAATCAGAAAAATGTCCATCCTTTGTCCAGGTGTAGTAGAAAAAATGTTACTAAAGGACAACACAGTTCTTGACAGTGTCCTTCTTAGCACAAATGCTGCAACTGCTAACACGTGCATGGTAAAGTACCACGGGTACCAACAAGAAATATTCACAGGAATAAATGAAGCACAAATTCTTTGCCAAATACCATTCCATTTCCCTTCCTATTTCTCAGATACCAAAAGGAGAAGGCCAAGAGCCAATCAACACACTTTTTTCTGTTCCTGAATTCCTGAACATCCCTACATACTCACTCAGAAGACAAAGGGTTGTGTCCAATGTTAGTTGAGTAGAAGTCTAGAAATGAATGGGTTGTAGGTTAAACACTGGACACAGCCCAGTGGGCCAAACTAGAGGGGATTCAGGAGGCCAATAGATTGAGTTCTTCTGCTATTTCTCTGTCAATAATGAGCATGGGTTTGAAGATCAGAGAAGTGGTGCCCTGGGATAAAGTATTCCCACATTCTTCCCATGTTTTCTCTAATCAAAACTGCCTTACCCTGAAGCTATGCCTGGCTTTCACCACACTGAACAATAGCTGTTCAGTGAGCGGAAGATTTAGATTCAGTCAAAAATTAAGCATCTTGCTTCAAATCGCCACCTCCCTACTTTTCAAAGCAGTCCATGGGATTGCAAATTACTAATTAAACTAAAGGGGATTCTAATCACAGGAATTGTTATTGTGTTCAATCTGGCCCATGAGCCTGAATGCCTTTCATCTATTCCAATCAGTCATTACAGTGTCATGCTTTCGAACTCGCAAAGCCTAAGGACTACACAGGTTTCAAGTGTATCTTGGATTTGCGGGACCTCAGCTGCCCGGACTGGACAGGATTTATGCATAACAACTCTAATTTCCCAATATTCAGTCTATCACATGTAACCACTTCTCTACAGTCCCAGGAATTGCTGTGTATCCATGATGACCTAGTTCACATAAACAATCTGCACAAATACGTACCAGGAGATAGAACAGAAAACTCACTGTGTGAATGAGCTCTAAAAGTTGGCCTGATAGGCAAGTGTTTACAGAAGTATTTAGTTCTAAATTATAAACTCTGTACAACTCATGTTACTGAGACTCAGCTCAGGACAAATATTTTTAATAGCCTTACAACATAGTCTAACACACCCCAATATATTTTTATATATATAAACTTGTATTGTCTTCTGCACAGCAGAAGTCTATAACATTTTAGAATCATTCTTATTACACTGAACAAAATGCCTGTATACATGATAGAAAATGCCTGCACATATAATACAGAAGAGTACATAAACCTTGAGGAAAAATGCCAAGTAGGTAACACCTTATAGCCTCATGAACATCAGTCTCCCCGTCAGGTATGTTCAGAGCAGGCTGGCAAACTCCTGCTTCAGTGGGGCTTCTTATCCATGGCTGCTTGTATTTGGAGGTCTATAGGAGCTATCCATGGTGCTGAATGCCAAACCAAAGCAGATTTAATACCAGGGACAAGGCATGCCACTGCTATAGGAGTCACCAGCCTACCCTCCACCCCATCCATCCATCCACCCACCCACCCACCCACCCACCCAACGAGAGAGAGAGAGAGAGAGAGAGAGAGAGAGAGAGAGAGGAGTTTTTAAAAGGAGAGGATACCATTTCTGAATATCATACAACTTGAGCCATAACCCTGTTAAATTGAAGGAAACACTTTTCTATAGATCCAGCTACATTAAGTTTAACCAGGTTAAACTGGCTTAAATCCAGGAACCTTGATTAATGAGTTAAGGGTTAGGTTGGAAGGGATACACCACAGTTTAGGAATAAAGACTCTGGAAATAAAAGGATTCACCACGAATAAGACATAAGATTCTTTTTTAATATATAACATCAGAACTGAGTTTTTTAAATGAGCCCCCTTCCTCGATGCACAGCTTAACATGGTGAGAGGGTTCCAGAGTGTCACAGAAGCTGAGAGCCAGGCCACCAGGAGGCCAGGCTTTCTCACTAGGCTGGTCTTCTAGCAGGGTCACCCAACGCAGAATGGCCAATGTGGGGACACCAGACTAAGATGCATCCACCCCCTTCAGGAGGAATGGTCACATCAGAAGAAGGGAATAGAGTGGAGAAACTCCTGAAGGGCAACTACTGGACAGCAGTGGTGTTTGAAGGTGAGACTGGCAAAGAATCTTTCACAGACAAAAGCAGTGATGCTCACACTAACTCTGGTTAGTACTGTGCAGAAGGCGGCAATGGTGAACCACTTCTGATTATTTCTTGCCTTGAAAATCCTATGCTGGAAAAACCAAAATGAAACAAGAGCTAGTACCAAGAGATGAGATTCCCAGGTCAGAAAGCACTCAACCAACTACTGGGGTGCAAAGCACAAGTGATTGCTGTCAATGATGACAGAATTAGATCAAATCTGAAAGGGATGCCTAGTGGCCAGTGTGAACAAAGGTGAAAGGAAAATCTGACTCTTCGCAACACACAGATTTGGAACATGGAACATGAGAAGTATGAATCAAGGCAAACTGCAAACGATAAAGCAAGACGTGGAACAGCTGAACATCACAGTACTTGGTGTGAGCAAACTGAAGTAGATTGGAACAGGGCATTTTCAGTAGACAAACACATCACTCTGGAAAGTTAAAACTCAGAAGAAACAGAGTGGATCTAATACTGAGGCAAGATTCTTGTAGGACAGGCATGCAGAGTCCAACTGAAAAAGATCAGCATTCTTGGAGAATCTATCGACATAATCATCTATGTAAGGGCATTTCACTGGAGACCAAGCCCAAGATCATCAAACTATTATATTCTTGATCACCTTGTATGGGCTTGGAAACTGGGCAGTGAAGAAAGCCGACAGGAAGAAAATGGATGTGTTCAAAACATCTTGATGGAGGAGATCTTTGTGATTCTGACTGACCGAAAGATGAACTAGTTAGATTTCTATCGAGTCAAGCCAGTCAAGCCTGGCAGCACAAATGAGGAGACTGAGGCTATTGTGTATATTGGACATAAGATGAGAAGACAAGACAAGACTCACTAGAAAAGACAATAATGCTAGAGAAAGTTGAAGGCAGAGGAAGAAGGGTAAAACCAGCTATGAGATGGATTGATTCCATGGAGAAAACCAGGGTTTGAGTTCACCAGAGCTGAGCAGGACTGAGCAGGATATTTGGAAGACAATGATTTATAGGATCGCCGTAAGTCAGAGACAACTTGGCAGCACGTAACAGCAATTATTAATAAGAAATATGCTTTGATTCATACACTTTGAAATTTTTAATTTATATTAATCTTCCAACAGAAAAACAAATGTAGGGCCAGCCATAAACATTTAGAGCAGCCATCCCCAACCTGGTGCCCTTCTGGTAGGCCTAAGGCCATGCTTGCTGGGGAGGATGGTAGTTGTACTCCAACACAACTGGAAGGTACCAGGTTGGGGAAGGCTGCTGCTGTACATGTTAACTGTTGGACTGAAAGAATACTGGGAGTTTGGGCTACAAGGGTCCAATGTCTCTTAAAACATTTACTAAGTAGGAATTGTCTGCTGACTCCTTGCTTTGAATGACTACACACACAATTTTGAGTGCATGATTATAGGAGTATGGTTTATATCCAAAGTTAGCTCTACTGAGAAGAAGATAACTGAAATGAATGGGACTAACACAGAATATAGCCCAAAGGATTTAGCTTGATATTCCTAAAACCCAGCAAGAAGCAAGTACTGTTCACTCGCTTGAATTTTACCTGAATCTCAAATCTAGCCTTTTAATGCAGCATGCAATTCCTAACATCTAAGGCAAGCTTAATTTGAAGTTTGCTAATTGAAGTTTATTAAGAGCCGGTGTGGTGCAAGAGTTGATGACCTGGACTGGGAACCCAAGAGCTGTGCATTCTAATGCCCACCAGGTGCCTTTGGGCCAGTCACAGACTCTCAGCTCAACCTACCTCACAGGGTGGTTGTTGTGAGGATAAAATGGTGCTCTGTAAGCTTCCTTTGGTTTCTCACAGGAGAAAAAAGGTGGGATATAAATGTAATGCAATGTAATAATACATACATAACATACATACATATCACTATATAACTAAATGTATATTAGTTTACAAACAATATGTTTCTCTTTTCCCAACCCAAAGTTCTAGACTTTTTTCAAAGACTACTCAGGTCTGGAACTCAGGTTAAATAATGGGGGGAAAGCAGCTTCTGTATATGCAGTGAAAGAAATTTGTAGGAGGGAAACCCTTATACAGGTAAGCAGACTGATGCAAACAATGGAGTCACCCTTTATGGAGGAGGATCAGCAGCTGAACTTATAAGGCAGATGTACAGAGAAAAAATATGTAGTTCTGCCACAGAAAGTCACTAAAGTTGCAGAGCAGAATGGCTAGGAGCAAGATGCGGCCTAAGCGAAAAAATATGGCTGGTACCCCAAGAGCTATTTTAGCCATGCCCAATAGGATTTTCCCTCTTTTTCCCTTTGAAAAGGAGACTGTCCATCTTTGCAAGCCATAGTACAAGCTGCTTTCTGACCCAGAGCATCAAAGTTGTTTGCTATATGATTCTGTGGTCTGCCACTCAAGGGAGACATCAAAACTCACCCTGGCCAGACAGCACTAGTGACACACAGCTTTGCATCCCAGCCCAAGTACTAGTAAAATGGTCTACCATACGCATGTTGGAGCCCATTTGTGTGGAATGGAATTCATTCATGGGATCTCCTAGACTGTATTCTCTGGTAAATATGCACAGAAAGCCAGTCTAGTTCAAAAATACAAGAATAATAATGCCTTGTAGGTTGTTTCCTAAGTATTTCTATTAATTTAGGAGATTGCTTTTATGGTAAAAAAAAAACCAGCAGCAAATATACCATCAAATTCCATAAACAATTTGTGCAAGTGACTTCCCTCTGCCATCAAGGAATATTGTTTGTAGGACATATGCTAAATTCCTCTATAAATCCAAGCAACTCTTTATAACTGGGATTAAAGTATTAAGTGTACTTTTTACTATGGGACTGCATCATTTCTGAATGATGGGCAGATTTTTTGCTGTCCTGTTCAAGAATTAAGATGCTCCAAAGAAGTTATACATTTCAAATTGTGTTGATGTCTTGTTAACAACCTGACCAAGCCAGCAGCATATGAAAAATTGGACATTCTAATTCCAGCAATCACCTCCTAATTCAGTAATCATAGTTTGCAATTATGCTTTCCCATTCAAGTATCTTCAGGAAATACGTCACCGTACTTTCTTATACCATGAGTCATTTCATATAACACACCAAGAGACAGAACATGACAGAAATGTCCATAAATATCTGCAAAAGTTGCCTATCAAGTAGTACTTGATTGATGTTATTTTTAAAGTAGCAAGGAGTTTTCTATTATACATCAATTTCATACTCTCCAAAATGTTCCCATAACTGGAATTTACAATCTTGGCTGGAATGTTCAGCTATGATCTGTATGTCATTAAGATTTTGTGAATCCATTTGGAGTAGAAGGCCACCCGGACAAAAATCCCAGGTCGTTTAGGAATGGCACATCCACGCCCAGGAATAATCACTCCCACTACTATTTTCATTCTGTTCTGTTCACAGACCAATGGACCACCATAATCTCGCTAGAAAGAAAAAGAAAGAAAATTAAAATCGACAGATGCATTTTTGATAGAGCTAAAAGCAAAGTCTGATGCATGGAATCAGACATAGTACCACCCTGGTTCGTGAATGATTTCACAAGAATGAGAGAATATCTGATTGCAATTTAGCCTTAATCCATTGAAATTAAAGAGAAAAGTCTATAAATTTCAATGGACATTATCAGATTATGATATGCTCATATAACTAATTATATTAAAATATAGGCTAAGAAATACTTACCTGGCTTCACCATACAAATAGCTTCTACCTAGCATAAATTAGCCATTCCTCCCAAATTCATTTTCTGGTTCAGCTCATGCCACTTGCCTCTAATCTAACTTTATCATAATGACTCTGAAGTTTATTTTGGGTCTGACTGTATTCCAAAATGGATTACAACCCCAGTTCCCACACACCACCATGCCCACACAGACACAATTTACCTGACCACAGTCTCTCACTTGCTCCCATATGCATTGCAGGTAACAACTAAAGAAAAAACCCATGGCTCAAGTAGAGCAACCCTGTGAAATGTAGTCTTCCTAGATATGAAAGGACTCCCATTCTGAACTTGAAAGAAATAAGATGTTTTTCCCAAGAGTTCAGGAAGATAACGTAGTCGGTTCAGTTCTGGATCAAATCTAGGAGGGTTCTCTCATTACTTTGGCCAATCCCCACTCTTGGTTAAGCTCAACAAGCACACAATGCAGCACAGTAACGTGATTCTGGAGCAGAACCCCCTTTTGAGACTCTTAACTCCAGGGATGGAAGTGAATCAGGACTAACACAGGTTTTTTTTTAGATTCATAGAATAGTAGGGTTCAAAGGGGCCAAGAAGGAAACCAAGCTGAACTCCTGCTGGTGCAGGACACCAGGTCATACCATCCCACTCAGATAATCAAAGTTCTTAGCCATCACTGCAACATCAAATACCTGAGGGTTGGACCTACAACCTGATTACATCAAATGAGATGTTTCACTACCCAAAGAACTGATCTAACCATTCTGTGTTTTTAGAGTAAGCTTGGGCCACAGTATTTATAGGATGGGAGCAAGGCCAAAGCTGGGCACACAAGGGAGAGTGAGAGGAATTTCTGTAAATTCTACATATGTGAAATTATGCATCACAGAGTTCATGACTTGAAAAGCTCCCAAAACTGAGGGTGTCAGATTTTTTTCTAAATTAAAACCATCATTGATAATCTTCACTGAAACCAAATAATGCCTCTTTCTGTTTACAGATGGAAGCTATTATTCTTCATATTTTCCACATTCTGCAGAGTCCATTTGGTGGAATATTTAGAGCGCTGCACTAAGACTAGGAAGACCCAGGTTCAGATCCACATTTGCCCATGAAGCTCACTAGGTGCTTTTGGCCAAACCGAACGTATCTCTCAGCCTGACCTACCTCACATGGCTCTTCTTATGAGGATAAAAAGGAGGTGGTCCTGTATGCCACCCTAAGCTTCTTAGGAATAAAAAGGGATATAAATTCAATTACATCAAATAGTACCTCACAAGTTCCACTGCCAATGCTTTCTGCCCGAGCACACATTTCTGACTCTTTCATGACTATACTGCCTCCAAAATCCTGGTTGCAACGCTCATTTCCAACAATGATCATGTTTGCTTCTTGAAGTTGTCCATCAAAATTGGAGCCTAAAATTGAAAAATGAAAATAATTGTTTTGTTTAGTTGCAAAGTCATGCCCGACACATCACAACCACACGGACAACATTCCTCCAGCCTCTCCTATTCTCCACCATCCATCAAAGTCCACCCAAGCTCACACCCACTGCCCCAGTGACTCCATCTAAAATAAAAATTGCTGTTCTTTATTTTACTGTCAATAGGAAAGGATATTATTCTTAATATAAAAAGCACTTCCAAATTAAAAACTCTGTGGATCTCTTACCAAAGAAAAATGACTATTTTGGATAAATGCCAAGAAGACAGTAGTCAAAGAAATAGTTCTGTTTCTATACAGTGCACACAACAGTGTAGAAACCTCTCGTGCTTGAAGCTAGCTAGTTAAAACACACACACACACACACACACACACTGATTTATTTATTTTATGAAGGGATGAAATTTCACAGAGAAATAGAAAGCCTCCTTGCTTTCCCCAAATTTCCTGGATTTTTCTCCCCAAATTTCTCTCCAAACATGCCCTATAATGTCCCTTTTGGCAGTGATGACTCTATCCAAATGATTATTTGGAAAGCTATATGTGTGTGTTTGTGTGTGTGTGTGTGTGTGTGTATCAACAGCTTGCATCTCAGTTGAGTATTGGCACACATGTGTGTATTCAATTTTAGAACAAGAGCTCTTACTTCCTGTGTGTCCCCATCCATAAACACTGCAGGTGGTGTTTTCGGGAATGGTACATCCAGAAATTGGCCCCCTGATGATAGCCACGGCATCACTGCTTACTGCTGGCCTTGGAAGAGAAAACAGAAAGAACAGATACAGGCTTATTCTTATCAGCCCTTTTAAAATGTAAGTGGCACTTATGATAGCTGACAAATAATATGACCATTTCCACAAACACACTTTCTGGCAACTTTAGAAAAAGCTCAGGTTTCAGCAACAAGACCTTGGTCGTACGCTGATCTTAACTCTTCACAGTCTGAAATCTTACATACACTGGCACCTTTTCAAAGATTTGCACGACAATTCCATCCTCCAGTTCTACTAGCTGAATAGCTGTATAACTCAGCAGAGGTCTTGCTATGCTTGCAGAACACAAGTTGCCATGTTCATGTGACAGATGCTCAGAACAATTAAAAGGGAGTGGACTCGTGGCTGGTGAAGGATTGAACCATACATGCCATATCCTTTACTCTTCCCAGGGCACAGGATATACCCATCAATGGCATGACCTTACACCAGCCCTAGACATGGTGAAAAGAATGTCCTTCTTGTTGACTTCAGTGGGACAGGGTGGTAGGTGGGGACCTGAAAAACACGAGTTGGATTTTAACTAACCTGGAAAGTTTCAGCAATACTAAATCTGATCCTTTAGGGCCATATACCAGCTGGGAAATATTCAGAACTTGTTTATGCTTCTCTTCATGCGTTCTTTCAATATTATGTATTCCAAGCCAAGCTTGATAGTCTTTGAGGTTGTACCTAAGGAGGGGAGATTTCATGAGCACTTTGTGTACAGCTTTCAGAAGAAAAATCAGTCAAAACCAAGCAAAGGCTATAAAAGCAGAGAAATTTACAATGGATCCAAATGAGTTTGAATTTCTAAGAATCTGGCCTTTGGATACTGCAGCAAACTGACTTGGATGGACAAATGGGCCATTTAATTTTCCTTAATTTTATTTAAATTTAGTCACAGAAAAAAAACCCTTCCAACCAAAAATGCATTTCTCCCATAGGCTAAAGCATGATCTAGTCCCAGAAACCCTTTTTTCCGGGACTAGATTATGGGGGAACTTTTCAGAAATATGCTTTCAAACGAATTGCACAAAATGTAATTCCATAAATGGACAAGACAAAAACTGCCTGACCATCTGCAAAGCAGACTGTATAGCTTTTACATTTGTGCATCTCTAGCATCCATTACCAGGGATGGGCGTGAGTCCATCTGGGGGTAGGAATCCATGGGACTCTCTGAGCGTGGCTCTCCAGACTCCAGTCCACTTTGTGGTGGCTCTGAGTCCAAGTTCCTGGCAAGCATGTCTGGCATTCATGGGGCACTCACCAGGTATAAAGCCCCAAGGACCATGCAAGCAGCACCCCAGTGCTCCTGCTGCCAGCTACACCACCCACAAAAGATGGCCGGTCACTAGGAATGGCACCTGATGTGACTGCTTGCAGTGCCCCTTCAACACACCCAACCAAGAAGATTCCTGGTTGCACAACCAGTGTCCACGAGCATTTGCAGACTTCCTATGGGTTTGGTTCATTCTGCAGTACCAGGCCAATCCATGGATGCAGGAGGGATAGATTCTGAAAGAGTTCATCCAACCCGAGCCATGACTGCTGCCAAGCTTCCCATTCAATGGTCCAATTCTCTGCTTCCCTCCTTGATTTTCTTTTCCTCTGTTCTCCTTCCTTTCTCTTTGCCCTTGATGCCATTGGATGATCTGGTTTGATGTCACAATGGAGTTGTGCATGTGTATTGGACACTTAATCCTAGGTTTGAAAAGCCTTCTGTAACCAATATTTGGAGAACTGGTTCATTCTTCAGGCATCAATCTCCAGGCTGCCCCTGGTTCACCTACTCTGACTTAGGCAGGTCTTTACAAGCATTGAACTAGAGTAAAAATTGCTTAGGGACAACAAAGAAACTTTATGCCACAGCTTCTGAGTATTGCTGGGCTAAAGTAAATAGCACCTGCATTTATGCATGCCATAGACCCTTCAATTACACCTTTTTGCTATACATTCACTAAGTGATCTTAGAGCCTTTCACCAGAAACAAAGAATGTAGCTAATAAAGGTGGGTTATTTTCCAGTATCATCTTTCTGAATGTTTACTTCAGGTGGGAATGAGGCTACATGAAGAGTCTAAAAACATTTAAAGGGTTATGAGATACACATTGCTATTTTATTTCTGCAGCTACAGGAACTGGAGATGTTCCCTGCAAGTTGAAAGCATGTTCTCTTCATTCAGTCCTATTGACAGGGTTCACATGATCTCGGAGGGGAAAATAAACCATGGTGGCTTGTTTTCCCCTACATGAGTGCCTGTCACATGCCAGAGGCATTAACATACTCTCAGCAGTGCTATATCATTCTCCAAGCCAAAAGAACCATGGGCTGTTGTAGAGTCCCAGATGGCTTATTATGTCTAACAACAAACCACCCTGACCAGGTTCACGTGGCCCAAGTTGCACTGCCAAGGATAATTATGCTAATCCCTCCCACAAGTGACCACCATGTGGAGATGGGGAAATAAACTACCATAATTCTCCTTCTGTGATTGTGTGAAATGGACTGGGATATATCTATTTCCCACATATGTTTGACAGAGTAACTTCAATGCAAAAAGTTCTAACAATGCTGGTTACAAATACAAACATCCCCGAGTTCTGCAAATGAAATTCAGATGATGTTGTCCAAATTGCAAAGACATTCAAACAACGGTGGCTATATATTCAGTCTTGGAATGTTCCAAAGTTACATCTAGATTCATAATTGAGCAGGCTTTTTGGATATTCTTCAGATATTTAAGATGTTGATGATAACTGATATAGTCCCAAATGGTTTAGGACCTGGGTATCTGAAGGAGCATCTCCTTCCACAAATACCTGCCCGCCCCCTAGAGAACTGGGTTGGAGGATCTTCTTTGGGACCCCTCTCTGAAGGAGATCAGGAGAGTGGCAACCTGGAGAAGGGCTTTTTCTGTGGTGGTGCCCCAGCTTTGAAACATGCTCCCCAGAGAGGTGTTCCTGGCACCAACACTTGATTCACTTTGGTGTCAGGCCAAACCCTTTTTATGTTCCCAACATTTTCAGATCTGATGATTGTTTTAAAGATGGGTTTTTATTTGCTGACTGATGCTGTGCTTTACTGTTGTAATACTGTCCTGACACCCAGGTGAAGGATGTGATAGATAGATAGATAGATAGATAGATAGATAGATAGATGATAGATAGATAGATAGATAGATAGATAGATAGATAGATAGATAGATAAATTCTAGTGTTCCCCCAGCTCATCAGTTCTGTGATGATCAGCTATAGGGAGGTGCCTCATCCTGAGTCAGAGACATCCAGTCCAGCACTGTTGCCGCCGACTGGTAGCAGTTCTCCAGGGTTTCTGGCAGATGTTCTCCAGCCCTACCTACAGATGAGAGGGTATGAAATGGGAACCATCTGCATGCAAAGCAAGTGCTCTGCTACTGACCTGTGGCTCTTTCCATCCCTTGAGAAGCGTCAAGTTGTAAAAGAAAGAATCCTGATGCAGACTCTTAAAGAATGAAAAATATTTTTTCACACAGTAACCCTGCTAACAAAACGTTACTTTACCGAGAAGGAAAACACTGCTTGGCTGTCAAGACCCAGTCTTCCTTAACCAGTGAACCGCCACAAAAATGCCTGCCTCTGCTGGAGGAAAAAAAATGCAACAGTTACTTCCAGTCTTAACTCCTGCAATATGCATGACACCAGTGTCCTTTGAAATAACTGAAAGTTCCTCCAGTCAAAGAATGCAGGGTGCAATCCTGAGTATGTTTAAACAGGAAAAGCAGCCAGCAGCTCTCTGCATACCCAGCCATCATGCTTGCGTCAAAGCTTTAAAGAGAGGGAGGTACATGGCACAGCTAGAATGTGGGTGAGGCAATGGGGAGCACCAGTCCAAGGATCGGCAAAAGGATCTACTGGTAGATCTCGAGCTGATTTGCAGCAGCTGGTTTGCAAAGCGTTTAAGGAGCTGAGTTTAACAATTGCAATAACAGAGTGATTTTCTCCTCCTAATCAGGTTGCCGAAATGAAGAACTGTTAGGAGACTTCTGTGTGAGAGGACTGTGAGCTCAGTTTCATTCTGGCAGTGAAGAATTCCTAGACTCAGAATTTGCCCAGAGGCATAGTGGTTTTCATCCCTCGCCCCTTTTTTTGGTAATTAGTTCTGCCTGTTCAATCTTGGGGTCCCTTTTTTTAAAAAGTAGATCTGAGAAGACTAAAATCTGTTCTACGTAATTCCAAGGGCAAAGGACTGGGTGAGCAACAACTGGAAATCTACAGGCTCATGTTTGAGCACCAAAAAGATGGAGCATTTCAAGAGGGGACTTATGTCTCCTCTACTTGTGGAAAGACTGAAGCAAACTTGTTATTGTATTTACTCTGCAGTTAGGAACTAAGCTTGTACATGGGTCTACAAACTGAAAGTGGGGAATCTGAGACCTATATCTGGAATTTGGAGCAGGAAACAGTATAGTGAATGGCAGAGTACTCAGAGACTTACCTGTCTTTTAAACTAACCATCCATCCTTTGTCAGGTTGAGTTGGGATTCCATTAACAACCCTCAATTGTTTTGTTGAGGCACAAGGAATGACAGCAACTGAAAGAGGTATTATTTATCAGGTTACACTGCATTCCACCGTACAACAAAGCAGTAGAGCAGCTTATGTAAACATGTTTTCATATGGGTAAAAACAAGGAAGAGTTTTCTGCAAACATTCCAGAAGACAGCCAAAATTGCCAGTGTCCTTTTATATTCAGAGGGCGATGGCTGTTGCAACTGCTGGGAATGCCCGAACTCTACAGCCAACTTGTTGCATATTTCCAGGAAGTGGTGTCTGAACATGGCCTTAAGATCTACTCATGGAATACAGAAAAGGAGGCTAATGTATCTGAAGACTATAAATCATCTCTATAATATATATACACATATAAAAACAATTACTTACTGTCTGAATTGCTTATCACAGGGACTGGATCATCTTCACCTAGATAGTGAAATCATTCCGTGATCAGCCAATGATAAAGTCAATTTATCTAAACATATGAAATACTTGTGAAGACTATACATGGTAACCATTACTGAGAAATATACGGGTGCTTTTTCTTCTTCTTCTCAGCTCTTGTGGCATGGCCTCAACCATGCCTGCAGTAGTGAATGCTTTCATGTTTCTGAAGAATAAAACCCAAAGGTCTTGCAGATGTACTTTAAAATTACATTATTTTTCAATGGATGCAGTGGTCTACCAATAGGATATATCTTTTAGGACTGAGCCAAAATGTTCCCCTTTTCCATTCTTTAGAGGTGGAAAACTGGAAGAAACATTTTGGAGATTTTTCTGAGGAAGCATGCAACCGCCATTTCCCCCTAGCAAGCAACATTCAGAAGGGAATGTAAAAAACCCTTTGTATTACTGCTAGGTTTTATTTTTTTAAAAAATGTTTTATATTCCAGTTTTAAGCTTTTATCTAGTATCATATGTTGCATTTTATGGTTTTAAGTTGGCTCAGAGAGCTTTGGCTATTAGGCAGAATAGAACTGCAATCGATCAATCAATGATTAAATACATAAAATGGCACCCACAACAAATGAAGCAACTCCCAGTGGGATGGAAGAGCCTCTGTACCCTTCAGAATGTTTAGGAGGAAAAATACTAAGGAGTTTCATGATTTCCAAATGGGAAAAGAAATCAAAACCATTCTGTCTGCTGCCTCTTGCTGGCTGCCAGAAATAACCCTGCCAGATATCCTGACATGGCCTGCCCCCTATTTCAGCTCCCTTTTGTCCTTTCACCTCCAAATTCAAGCCAGTTTTTTCCTTAAATTTCCTTGATCATTCAATATTCAATTCTAATTCTGTGAATTATTATTGTACCTGCATTACTGTGAATAGGCCAAACATAATGCTTTTCACCTATCTTCAAGATATATTTTGAAAACTGAACTATATTGACAGATGATCCACAATGCACAGTTGACTCAGGAGACCTGCACCTTAGATGGTCTGAGTTTTCCATCATTTTGTGGTCTGAAGTCATGGAAGTACACAATCTACCCAAACAGAGGTATATAACACATTTTCCAATTCTTCCTTTCCACTTCAGGTCATATGTAAAGTGGTCTACAGATGACAGGTTTGCTGAAGTTATTAATCTTCAGGGTTATTAGTGCTCTCCCGCAATACAGATGTTAAATATTTGCATCCTGGCACAGTCTCTAGTCAAACACGTTTTGCAGGTTTTCCAAATGCCCCAGGCAACTGAAAAAGCTCCATGAAATTCAATCAGCACTGCTGCAATAGACATGTGTCCATTTTGGTGTGCTTATTGGATAATAACCATAACACTTACGAGATAATAAGCATGCGGAGTAACACACTTATTCCCATGCCACAATACCACCAGCAGTTTTGGAATTTCTTCCAAGGTTTGCTCTAATATTTAGGGTGGAATCCTACCCATGTTTTGACAGAAAGGGGCCTACAACTCCCAGCTTTCCCCAACCAGCAATTCTATGTCACCCATCCTTTCCTGAGTACTTACATCTTGATATAGGGCAGTAGTCCCAGGGGATCCGAGAGTCACTCGTGTAGCACCAGGGACCATGAGCATCCTCATCTGGATTGCGGCAGTAATTTCTCTTCAGCTTCCTAGTATCTGGCTCTCTATATAGTGGCAGATGCCTATAAAGGAAAACGTGTGCCACTGATGTCAATGTAGTTTGATAACTATGTTTGTACAGCATGCTTTTTGTGAATACCATTAATGTTTTAGGGTGTTGGCACTCTAACAGCATTCACACCAAAGGCTTGTGGCTGTATGCATGTCTCATCAGAGGCAAGCTCCATTCAGTTTGATGGAAGTTACTCTCAAATACTCTTGCTGAAGAATCAGCAAAATGATTCTAAGGAACAAGGTGGGGGGAAGACAACTGGTTCTCCTGGAGTCACTGGAGCAATGTTGCAAATTTCAAAGGATAGTGGACTTATACCAGGTGCAAACTTGGATTGGAAAGCTATATATCTTTGAAAGAGATTCAGTAAACAGGCTAACCACCTATCTCAACCTACCACATAAGAAGGTTGGGATAATAAAATGGCATCAACCCTTTATACCACTCCTCTTTTCTTGAAGGAAGGGTGGAAAGCAATGATAATATACAACCCATAATTCAAAGATATCCTAGCAATCCAACAGCTTCATTCACCCTCAATCTTCTGCCATAAATTGCATGAGAAAGGGTAAAACATCATGGGAAAAGCAGTTCTGTGTTGAGTTATGAAGTTCAGAATTGGATAGGGGGGTACAAGGGAGCAGCCTCCCCACAGCAGGCAAAGTAGGCAGTCACCCCACTACCCAGAATTTCTAGTTCATCTCCTTTTCATGATGAAACATGCAGTTTGTGGCAAACTCATAAATCACAGTAAAGTTAACAATGAGGCAAATTTGAGCCAAATCTGGTTTTGTGCACCTTTAAAATTACTGGCAAAAAAGTCTTGCCCTTTTCAAATAGTTTAATATTAAGCAAAGACACACTTTGCTAGATTGGGTGGCTTAGATTTGGTGTTTTCTTCTGGCAGGTCAGAAGCAGCCCTTCCTGCTAGTATAACTGTGCCTTTGGATCCAAGCAACTGTTTAGTGTTAGAAACTTGCACAATTCTATTTGCAGAGAGAATTATAAAAGAAAAGGTATGGGCAAGTGCCAAATTGTTTGCCCTGAAAACCAGTTCCAACCACTCAAAGTGTTTCTGTTGGATGTTTGGATGCTCTGAAGGGATTCACTCAAATATTTTGCAGTAACAGCCTTGGGCCAGAACAGCTGGCCAGCACTTGCTACCCAGGCCACTTCCTCTTTCCTAAGGGAAAAATACCACACCTTGGGAAGAAGAAGGGGGCAAGAAATCCTTCAGCAGAAAATGATGCCCTGTGCCACAGGTCCCGTTATGCTTGCCAGGAAATGATGTGCAAAGCAGCATTTCCCCCAGAGAGCTATCAGAACTAAGTCTGAGATTATGACTTCAGTGTTATTTTCTTCTTGAGATAACTGGACATGTTGCCCATTTTCCTCATTCCCAGTTGGGAGTGCGGGGGGGGGGGGGACGACACTCAGAACTCAGTCACTTTCCACTGAATGGAGAGGACGTCTTCTCCATTATTCAAAGCCCACACTACTTTCCTGTCCACTAAGCAATATTTTGTCCTACCACCTCCATCCCACCCCCCAAAAAAGCCCCACCCTAAAAAATATAGAGGCAAGAGAAAGATATGGAAGGCAGGAAGTGAAAGAACAGAAAATTGCTCAAGATGGGCTGTTTTCACCTTGATTCTGCTCTCTGTAATTCAAGCAAAGGTGCAAGCATTTGCAAGTATTTTTTGCAAGAGCCTTAATTTCCACCCTTTGGAAAAGCAACACCTTGGAAAGAGAGACTAAATAAAGTTCAAGACACTGAGCCAATTTGGATAACAGATCCACTTGAACAATATATTGGTTTTCTATAATAATTGAGATGGCAAGACTTATTTTTCTTTGAATTCATTTGTACATACCTCCTTAAATCTTGAATGTTTTCATTCCACATAGAGCAAGTTAAGCCAAACCGTGTCCGGGCTAGATTCCCCATGTAATTTGCCCCATTTCCTCTATAGCAATCTACATAAAGAATGTACATTTAAAGATTATTAAAATAGTCTACTAAAATATCACCACTTTCTAAATATTCTGTTAAGTAAGATAATTAAGTCTGTAAAAGTACGTAGGACTTACAAGATAGAATATAAAAAAGCAGGGCCAGTGAACAGGTTATTGAGATAAACTATATATAATGCAAAGGTTGTTTGAACCTTACCTAAGCATGTCTAAAAACATAAGTAAGTAACTTGAAAGTAAATAGGCAACCTGCTTTTGCTAACTGTTGCAGATGTACTGGGAACTTTTCAGTTTAAATGGTAATTTGTTGACTTTGAACTTGACAAGGTCACCCAATTCATTAAAGTATATAAAAGCTGCCAATATATCTTTAGTTTCACAGTTTAAAATCCAGATGTTTTCAGTAGGCTACAGAATGGAACTTTAGTTAGTGAAGAAAAGGCCCTGGCTTTTGGCAAAGGCAGATGAATTCTGGAATTACTCATCCCTATAACAAGGGAAAAGACTATCACATTGCCTATCTGAAAATGCTCCCCTCTGTGAAACACACATTGTGGTTTATTTTAATATGGATAACTGACCAGCCTAAAAGAAAGCTGTACAACTTTGCAAGTACTGCCAATATGTTACACATTTGCACTTTAAAATGAGTTCATGCTACCCTAAAACGGAATCATAAGAGGTACGCTTTGAAAGAAAATGTAACATGGCATGCCGGTTGTATAGCTTTGCCCCTTTTGACTCACTTTATAACCACATCCATCTATAGTGCAGAAAGGACAAGACAGGTAGGCACATGGGGACCACAGGGGTTAGGTTATATTTGAGCAGACACCATAAGCATCCATGTAAAATATATGCATTGATCTGGCACCAAGAAAGATGAGATTCTCCTGTTTCCTGGTGGCCTCTCTTTACAAGTTAATCACGAAAAAGATACACGTGCACAGAATGTTTGTGCTTCTTCTATGTTACATCCTGTGCATGACAAAAATGTTTACTATGCACCCTTACTAGCAGATCATACAGGGTTCATTTTAGGGTACATGAATATGGCCTCTTCCACTTTGCTTTAAACTATTTTGTCTTCCTTGCCCAAGTTACCTTGCTCATTCGGCACATCGCATTTCGGAATTTGAGAACAATACCCAATACGAATTTTGGGGTTGGTAGTAAAACACCAGGGTGCCTCAGCTCCATCTGGATTTCGGCAGTAGTTCTCTCTTAAGTCCCTATTTAAAAAATAGCAATAATAATAAACAAACGCGTTAGCATATGCCAGGCACAGTGCTGCTCTTTTCCACTGCTCTCTCTACTGTAGGCTAGCAATAATAATAGCTGCTTGGTATCTCTGTGCAACTGTGTTTCTGCTACAAAAAGATGTGTTAAAAAGTCAATAATGTGTGTGTGCTGCTCTAAATGGGTTTCCCTATTAGAAACACTTTCATACAGATAAGTATCAGATCCATCTGAAACCTAATATAAGTCCTTGCTTTCAAGCTTATGCTAACAGTAACTGTCCAATTCATCCACTTGGTTATATGGGAAGAATACTCGTATGCTTTATCACTGATGGAATTAGGAAATTAAAACTGAGGAGTATGGGGAATGTGATTAGAAATCCTATGAAATTATTACATTTTTGAAGGGGGGTGGTTCCAACCACTGTGGATGCTCCTTAAAACAAAGTCACCATTTGTTTTAAAACGTCTGCCTCTTGAAACACATGCATCCTTCTCTACTCCCCTAAAAATTTATCTCAGGATTGGTGGAGAGTCAAACAAATTTTCTCCATCACACCACAACTCTTGCCATCTGGATCAATAATTGAAAAACTGTCTGTAGAATATATGCGTGATCAGTCAAACTTGTTAACTTGAAATTACTAACTTACTCCAAAGACAATGAACAGGGGCCATTTCCAACATTAAGGTTTCCTACTTCATTTTAGAAAGAAAAAATGAACAATGGAATAGTTGTCCAAAGATACAGAGCTTCATGTTGACTGCAAGTCATGAAATACCACAATTTCCAAGGTCCCTGGAATTTTTTACATTGATTTATGTTGATTGCATTTGAGTAACATCACAGGGGACATGTAGCTTAGTAACCTTAGCACTGAAGAGCTATTCCAGTATACTAATCTGATAGTATTAAAAAGCAGGGCATTTTCCTAGGAAAATGGGCACCATGGCAAATATTGACTAATATTTCTAAAGTGTTTAATCAAAACTCACAAGGGAATCAATGCAAAATTTTGCCCGAGAAATGCTGCAGTACCAGATCCCTAACTTCCTTCCTAGGTGGGTTTCCCAAGAAAATATGTATAGAGGATGTTCCATATTAGTGCTGCTTTAAGTAATATATATAAAATTTGGCTAACTAATTTGGCTAATGAGGAGTATATTCAGCTTTGCACATATTTTTCTTTAAAGCATGCTCTTAAACATATTTGGCTGAACTCTTGAAATCATTTCAGGCCTGACCAATTGACAAGTACAATATTTGGCATAAGAGTTCTGAGAATTTCAACAAAACTTTACATTGCTCCTCCATATTTTTATTAACAGGGTGAAATCCCTTTTGAAAACAGTAGGACTTACTTCTTAACGTATACATTCAGGATTGCATTGTACAGGAATTTATTTTGCGATCCGAACAACAATGCTTCATTCCTACCCTTTGCTTTAGCATTTAAACACCACTAATCCACGGCCTATTTTTTCAGAAGTCCCACTGGATTCAGTGGGAATTATTTCCAAGCAATTATATGGAATTGTGCAACCAAAGGCACAGATTCCATAGGACACCATAGGAAATATTAACAGTAAGTATGATCGCTTCTCTATTAATGGCTTTGTTCACCTATGATGGTTTTGATCTGTAAAGCCATACAAACATAAGAAAAGACATGCTAGATCAAACCCAAGATCCATCTAGTCCAGCACTCTGCGCACACACAGAGACAGAACAGCTGCTCACAGGACCCCTCAGGCAGGATAGGTCTGCTTGACCAAGTTTCACAGCAACTGGTGTGATGAAACAACATAGCCAGCAAACAACAATAGGCTAACCATTATTACCAGGATACAGTGGTGTTATTTTAACAATCATTCCAACATCTTTTTTCATAGGCACGGGCACCGTTTGCTGAGGCTATGGTTGCAAGCAAATCAAGTTGAGTTTAAAATTATGCCTGGTACAACCAGACCTCCACTTTGTCCCAGTAATGGGCAAGTAGATAAAACAAAGGCATATGCACAGTGGAAAAGTTAGCCATGTGGATTGCAGTCATTCCTAACCCGGAGCCCTCCAGATGCTCTTGATGACTAAGTTTTAATATCAGACCAGCCAACATGACCAATGGAAAGAGATGATGGGAATTCTAGCCCCAGCCGTGTAGAGAACACCCGGTTGGGCAAGGTTGAGCTAACACTGGCATAAGGCACAATCTTATGCATGCTTAGTACAGCTGGCTGAGGAATGATGGCTAAGATGCTTCAGGCTAAACATGCAAAGGCTTGTGCCCTAGGGCTGCATGCTTTACCTCCAGCATGCAGTAGTATTCTCAAGAATATTACATAATTCACATAATTCCTCTAGAAAATCTGTTCACACTAAGATAGCCATATTCAGCAATTGCAGAAAAACAGTGTATTTGCTGGAGTGCTAAACAGAACTGTTTGACATAACAATCCTAAACTTGTGCACTCAAAAGCCCCAGTGGGACTTCATCCCTGGTAACTACATAGCAGCTTCCCCCAGCCTTGTGCCTTCCAGACACATTTGGAATGCAACACCCAGAATTCCCAGTCAAGGGCCCTGCTGGATGGGAATTCAGGGAGTTGTGGTCCAAATGCCTTTAAAGGCCACCTGGTTGAGGAAGCCTAGTGTATAGTATTGCAGATTTTGTGGATTACTGCTTTTGCTGATTTTTTTTAAAATTCTGGACTGTCATTTGGAACTGGGACTGCTTGATTTCTAAGCAGGTATCAGGTACTCTACATCATTACAGCATCACCCAAGGAAACACCTACTTTATTTTAAAATAAATGTGTGTGATTGTTATAGAAAAGTGAGAACACAAGTAATGCATTTATTGAAATTACTCTACAAACATATTAAGATCAATTATTATATTGTTGCTAAAATACTCCACCTTCTATAAAGCTATTAAAATATTAAAATTAAAATATTAAAATTAAAATTATGTTTACATGCAGTACAATAATATGCTCTTTTCCAACATACTATACCAGTTCAGCACAGATAAACATGTTTAAACACAAATGAAATATGACATCCGTGAAAGTCAGTAGGTAACAGATTCTAATTCAATGTAATGCCTTGCTGTGCTTCTTTTTTGGCTCAATATCTACCCACTGCAGTGACATCATGAGGACAATTGTATGCTCCATTATCACCAGCATGCATGCAATAAAAGGAGGAGGCCATGCTGCCATCAATGTGAGCCATGAGGCATGCAGAGATGACCAGCAGGGCCAGTTAATACACAGCCAGCAACAGTATATGAACACAGGGCTGGCTGCTGCAGCAGGGAATATCTCAAATCTTCCCAGGTATATTTAGGGATGCCTTGGCTATCACAGCCAACACCCCCAAAGCTGATGGAGCAGATACTAAAAAGAGGTGGGAGAACCCGCCTCCATAATTACCCTAGCCCCATAAGCACAAGAATTACGAGCATAGCACAGAAACCCCACACTGTAATATTCAGTCGTGGAGGGCTTGCAGGATCCTGCACGATCACCATAAGATCAATCACCAGCTCCATAAAGAATATCTTCTCTTAAGCACCATGGTGAAACCCATGAAATGTGTTTCTCCAGCAAAATGGGGAAGGGACAACTCTTATATGTGGTGCAGCTGCACTACTATGGAATAGGAAATGTGTAGGTTGTTCTTGCAGTAGTTGTTGAATATATATGAGACTAAAAAAAATCATGAATTGAAGTGAGTCGGAACATCCCAACCTTGCGCCAGCATTGCAACAGGCAGTATCAACACCTAGCTCTGTGCCACAACGACTTCCTTCCATTAATAGCATGACAACAGAGTATACAAGCGACTATTAAATGCAGGCAGCACCTGGTGATGTACTGATGAATATGGATGGCTTTTTTTTTATAGCACTTATCTTATTGGGATAACATTTTGAGTAAACAAAAGTGGAGGTAAAACAAAAGCCAAGTGGTCACAATCTGGCTGGGACAGCAGATAAAGTGTAAGTGAAGTTCCTTTTTTGCCTTTGCAAACAAACAAACAAGGGCAAGGGAGAAAGGTCTGAGAATAAGCAAGACTGCCCCAGTACACTTACCTGGAGAGAGCCCTGCGGAATGCAGTGGGACTAACCCCTAAAATGCCTCAGAGTAGACTGCAAAATAAGAGCCCATAGAAAGTATTCTGCATCGCTATCCCAGAAGTGAGAACAATCAGGGACAGAACTACCTGACTAGTTTCCTTCGAATGAGAGTGCACTGGAGACTTAGCAACACCTTTGAAGCAATCCTTTTATTTACAAATGTACAAGCAGAGCCTATCTGAGGAACCAAAATTCCTAGGAACATGCAGCAGGTCTGCTAGTTTTCCATCAGTTCCTCAGAGATGATTTTTGGAGACCCCAAAACTGCACATGAATTTCAATTTATTCAACTGATCCGAGCTAGAAGCTCCCTGCATCGCTTTCTTTGACAACAAATTCAAACTGAGCCTGCTTCAAGCTATTCTCGACCCCAGTCCACAGCTGGAGGCTCCTACTTCCCAAACTCTGGTGGTTATCACATTCTGAAAGACGGACAGAGACTTTCAGCTATCATCCAAACATCTTCCTTGCATTAGTTCCCATTGATGAAACACTAACGAATCACCCAGGAGTATTAGAAAGCCATTTGTCGAACAAAGGATGGTTCCCCAGCTAGCATCCATAATAGTATCCTGCATTCAGTCAGGTCACAAATCCTGTTTTGTTCTTTGTCCAAAAAATAGAAGTGAAGCCTGCAAATGTAGCTTGCTGCATGGTGCCTGAACATCACGTTTCCAAGGAAGTGTTTCATGGGTGCTGCACACAATGGAGTGCTCCATAGGTGCTCACGCACATCCTAGGGTCAGCAATGGTCTCAGACATGTGCTGGTGGTATAAAGGACAGATGCTTCCTCCTGCCACAACAAGCATCCTGAAATATAAATAGCAGCTGGGTAAGCACAGTAAGTTGCTGTTTAGAGGTCCTGGCTACACTTTTCCACACTCAGAGCATAAAAGTAGTCCCTAAAATAGGATCTATTAATTTAAAAATTTGGGAGTCTTCTCCCTAACTCCTTGCAAGATCACTGTGAAAGTCCTTTGCTTCGGATTCCCTTCATTGAGAAAAATAAGGGATGAAAAATGGGCTGGGGACACAAGTTCCTGGCAGGCAGGCGGAATTCATACAAATGTGCTACATTCTTAAGTATTTCCCGTAGAGAAATTAGTGAGTTAGAATCGCTTAGAATTTCTAAGAACCCAACCCACAGATAGTGTAGCAGGCCAGCTTTTCCTGTACCACAAAGATTTTAGACTTGTGAAAGATTTTTAAATTTTCTGTAACTTACACATCTTCAAAAAAGATGAATAAAAAGCCACAAGCACAAATTCACATTTCCCCCATAAGCTAACACATGAAAACATGCATTTTGTGCAAATTTGCACAAGTGTGAATTTTTGCAACTGCATGTGAACAAATTTGTGCAAATTTGATTCTATCAATTAACAAATCATACAATAAAAGGTTTCTGACGATTCACAAAATAGTCGGAAAATATTTGATAATATGTATTTGTGCATCTTTGATTTCCAGATACTAATCTCTACACTAGAATCAACATAAAATGGGGCATCTCCAGATGAACTCTGGGAATCTCTGGAAGTTTAAAGTGCTGGTAGCAACCAGGGCTGGGACAAACCCTTTTGGAACCCATCCCTCCACGTATTCCTGGGCTTCCTCTTGTGCTTGGCCCTGTCTTCCAAAGCAAGCTGAGTCAAGAGAAAGTCCATGAATGGATGCTCAACCCATGGCCTTCTTTTGTGTCCGCTACAAACGGCAGCTGCAGCTTGTGCAGACAAAGGGCGATGGTTGCACAATGGTCACAGGGGGCCCTTTTCCAGAGGAGGCCCTCATGACGTCTTTGTGTAGCATCGGTTGCAGTCACTCAAACAGAGGCTGCTTTTGAAGCGCAAGAGGAGCACTGCAGGCGGTCGCATGGGGCTCCTTCCCCAGCAAGCCCTTCATGACCAGCCTTCTTCAGTTGCAGCCATTCAAAGGGTGGCTGCACTTGGTGCATGACAGGGGTCCTGCTTGCACAACACATGGGGCTACTGCAAAGTGGACCGGAGTCTGGGGAGTGAAGCCCAGGGAATCTGAGGGGTTTCCACCCCTGCCTGGATTCCTCACCCATCCCTAGGAGTGGACATAGTGGACAACCATTCACTGTTTGCTTTGCCACAACAAAACAAGCACATCCTCACAAAGCCACAACATATTATTCATCCAGAACAACTTACCCTCAAACAAGATTCTTGCCATTGAGGTGCAGCTGTGATGAAGGCTTAGGACATGGACAGGGGACCGAAGGACACGGCCAATCAATTTAACAGCTGAAGAAGAAGCGGCTGCAAGGGATCATGGTTCCACACAACCAGAGCTTCTATAGCACCAGCAATCCTAATTAGGAGGGGAAGAATTGATGCTGGGGCGTGCACCATTTCAACTAGTTCACCTACAGCTGAATAGATAACTAAGCATCAGGTAATGGGAGGAGGGGAGAAGTTTCTCCACAATTATTGAAAAATGGAGGAGGAGGAGAGGAGGCGGCGGCTTTGGTCTCCAAGGTCAAAATCATGTTGTAGAAAGAAGCCTGACCTACACTTCAGCTCCTCTCCCAAGTGTGATTCCCAATTCTACTTTGCCCACACATTTCTTGTCCCATCAACTGACCACACACAATCCCACTGCATGTATAAGAGCCGCCACAATTTGCAAGGCATACTGTGAGAAACCACATGCTCAAGGAAACACTCACTGTCAGGTACCATTTAAGTGACAATGTTCTAGCTCAGAAAAAGGACATTTACAAACTGGATTGCTTACAAATCCATGCAATAAATCCAACATACATAGAGCAATTATGAATCGGATTCAGGTGTGCCTGTCCAACCCCAACACTTCTCAAATGGAGCTATGATTCCTAAAAAGACAGGGTTTAAAATGTCAGGGACACTTTTCAAAAAATACCACATACTACAAGTCTTCCAAACACGTCAAGCAAATATGAAGATAAGCAATGATTCTACAAGTTATAATAGTGCTAATTTTGACCTTTAGGCTTACTAACTTTTAATGGTTCATCTCAAGAATGCAGCAAATTGGTGCCATTTAAATTGTGTCACTCATACAGCTCTACTCACTTGCATTTAAAGTTTTCCGGTGTGATGTTGTGTTGATGGGGAGTCTGGGAGTCCCAGCGCTGGCATTCAGTTCCACTCCATATGGTATTCACAGTGCCACGGTAGCCCTCCCCTTGTCCTCGAATGCACTCCGTTGTTTCAGACAGCGTTGCAGAGTTGTTCACCACATTCTGAGCTAGAAAGAGACATGGAGACTGTTGCTTTCATGCCAATCTGTTCTAAGAAGAATGTCCTTCAGATCATTGGCTCTCTGCTGCAGACCACTCTAAAGAAATTTGCAGCGTAAGGAAGACAACTAGCCCTTTAAAACTTAAAAGAGCTGATTTTTTTTCAATCGACCAAAGCTGATTTATTCCAGGATTCTTCCTCCCCCTCAAAAAAGCAGCTATCTAGGCTCCTCAAAAGCCCATAAATGCTACAGAAAGGTGATGAGCATCCAATCGATTTTAGTCCAGCATTCAGAAAAACACTATTTTTCTGCATAGGGAAGTTACTTTTGATTTAGCTATTATTTTTAATAGCCGCTGAGGGACCTGCATCTTTTTTAAGAACACATCCTAATGACTTAATCAGCCTAGAATTGATTTCCATTGACCCAAACTTGGGATTAAGTTGTCCAAGGAACAGACTTCTGAAGGTGATGATTCTGTAGCTCTTTCAGCTTTGCTGTATGGCATAAAGTGGATGATTTATAATCTGCTTTCCACTGACAGAATGGCTCCACTAACAGAAGGCTCCTCCCTCCAGTTCATGGAAAGCCTCCCTCCCTATAGCTCAGGCCACTCAGCATGGTCCTTTGACCTTTAGAGTAGCATTTTCAGGGGGCTTAGATGATTTATTTGTTTGTTTTGTTTATTTATTTCAGGCATTTATATCCCGTCCTATCGCCAAACACTCAGGACAACTTACAAAATGTAAAAGTACAATATAAAATGTAAAAGTACAATATAAAACATCAATTATTAAAACAATATAGAACACATCATGAACAAGAAAAAGGAGAAAAAGATAGAAAGTGCAACTGTGAAGGGAAAAATCCTAAAACATCTAAAACTGTTGGTTATTAAAATAATGGTCAAATAAAAAGGTCTTAGATGGGCTGCCAAGGCAAGAACGGCTAGGAAGTCTGCATTCACCAGCCAAGTTCCACAAGTCCAAATCAACATCCAACCTGTTTTGTTTATATTCTCAAGTTCCCGTGGTCTTATTATTACTTCTTATTGCAACTTGACATGTAAGACGGGGTGCTACCAAACACCAGGTTTGGACTGCAGCTCATAGTGCCCTTCTTTCACCACCTGATCATGAAGTCACTTCTCCAGGAGCTGAACACCAGGAATAATTTTCTGCTCTTGTAATTGAACACCATGGATTGAAATGAAAGAGTAGTATTAATAATAATAGTTCAACATAATAAAGACAATGGGATTGTGTGAGCGTACATCTGTTTTCACATTAGACCTATTATCTAACCTGGAGCTAAGATTAGCATTTGAATGTAAAATCTGCAGTCAAATCAGCATCTTTTTATCTTGTATCCCCAGCAATAAAAACTAGACAAAACCTTTTATAAATCCATCTACCTCTTAAGCTACCAATCCCATCTGAAAGGGAAAAAACAAATCTTGCATGGAAAATTAAATATATAAATCAGTTTTGGCAGAAAAAGATCCTAGATGTGTTGTACGGAAATCACACACACAATCCCAGATAGAGCAAAAAGCATTTAAACTGAAAGTGAATAGATCCCCTTACATAATATTTCATAGGCTTTGTTCAGCACACTGAAGAGAGATCACACTTCTGTAAAATATGCATTGACATTGTGTGTATAGTAGTATATTTGAAAATCTGTTTTGTGCTCCAAAGCCTTTAGCACGACGCCTCTGCACGATGCACTCAGTCTGGCATACACTGTTTAGACTAAAACAGTCATCCCAGCTCCATTGGCAGAGGTGTCTGGCACACCATCTAGTCCTGTTGTGTTGGATCAATTTCATTTCCTGATGACATGGACATGGGTAAGTGGTGGGCAGGACTTGCCCAAGCACCATTTGATCCTTGCCCTTCAAATATTCCCCCAGTGAGATCAAGGGGGAAAGGGCTAGGAGGGGGGCATTTTCCACCGTGGTGCCCACTCTCTGGAATTTGCTCCACAGGGTCATATGGTTGGCATTGACTTTGCTCTCTTTTAGATGCCAGGTAAAAACTTTTTTGTTCAAACAAGCTTTTTTTTTTTAAACTAAATTATTTGCTGCTATTGTTTATTTAATTTTGGTTGTTACTTTATCTGGCTGTATTTGGTCATGTTGTGCATGATTTTATATAATTTTTATTGCATCATTTTGTGCATGGTTTTATATAATTTTTATTAAATAAGATGTTTTAACAATTTACCAAATTTTATTGTTTTATCTGTTTTATTGATTGTATTCATATGCTAGTTTCAGCATTTGTAAGTCACCCAGTGAACCCTTGGGTTATGGGGCAGCAAATAAATATAATGAAATAAATAAAATTCTGGAAAATGGTAGCTTCGGCAAGGGGCGGCATAGAAATGTTAATAATAATAATAATAATAATAATAATAATAATAATAGCCCTTCAATGGAGTCATTCAGACAACCAGAACATTTTTTTTGTTTTTTGTTTTTTACTATTTAAACATTTCTGATCATTGGAGTTGTGCATGGAATTAATGCTTCA